CCAATAACCCATACTTGCCACCACCAGATCAAGGGTGATGGGCATGTACTTCAGGATTAACCCCATGTGTCCATTCTGAAGTTCTTAATCATCAGATTTTTGTGTTCTAGTACAACTAATTCCTAGAGTTATTTATCACTCAGACCAGGACATATAATAGGGCCCTGACCGGGCAAGGACCCCTTCACCAGAATCGCCAGGAAAGAGAAATTGTTACTGCCATCACCCTCTCCATTCTTCTGGGATTGGGACTGGCAGGAGCAGCAGGTACAGGAATTTCAGCCTTGACTTTACAAAGCAAAAACTACCATAGCCTTAGAGCTGCAATAGACCTGGACATCCAGAACTTAGAAAAGTCTATTTCCCATCTACAAGAATCCCTAACCTCCTTGGCAGAATAGGAGAGACCTAGACTTGTTCTTGCAGCAGGGAGGCCTCTGTGCTGCCGTTAAGGAAGAGTGTTGTTTTTATGTAGATCACTCTGGGGTCGTCAAAGAATCTCTGGCCAAGGTTAAAAAAAGTCTGGCTCGAAGAGAGGACAAATATAGGGCTAAACAAGGATGGTTTGAATCCTCGTTCAATAGCTCCCGTTGGTTGACCACTTTGATTTCAACCTTACTCGGATTATGCTCTTGACTTTTGGGCCTTGCATTTTAAATAAATTGGTAGCTTTTATAAAAGAGCGGCTAAGAGCTATACAGCTAATGGTAATGTGAACCCACTACCAGTCCCTCCAGAGTCTGGGTGAAGAACATGAGATGAGGGAGCGCCCATGATTGGGCCCCCAAGGTACTAGTCAGAGGGGGGAATGAGAGACCTGAGTGACTCCATCTTGGATAAAACCTCCATAGGACTGACCCAGCCCTGGGCCGTTCCAAGAAAACCCACAATACTTGGAACCGAGAGAGACCAACTCCCCTGCCGATGGTCAATTAACCAGGGACAGGAAGGTACTAAAAGTCCAGATCTTTTCAGATTTCCTGAAGGCAGCAGTTTATGGTTTGGCACTGCGCTGCAACCAATCAGATGCTTGCCAGGCTGAAGACCCCCCTACTCCCCTACTTGCTGAGCTTGCTGAAATAAACCTATAAAAACCTCTGTCTCCCAAAGCAAGGGGTCTCACTTCTGAGATCACTAGGTCGGTGACAGAGTGGGCCCAAGCTTAAGCTTGTAACAATAGAAGAACCCTTGTGTGCTTGCATCGGTCGGCTCCTTGGTGGTCTTTGGGGTCTCACGAACTGAGCACAACCCCCCCGCAAAAAAAAGTTCCCCTAAACAACAACATAAAGCCTATACAAATTTTAGAGAATGCCCTGAAAACAAGTTGAAATGAAGCCAGGGAAGGCAGCACTACCTACAAACACCTCAAGGGGAACTACCCAAAAAAACCACTGAAGGGGCTGGAGAGACAGCTCAGCCATTAAGAACACTGACTATTCTTGCAGAAGACCCGGGTTTGAATCCCAGCACCCATATGGCAGTTAACAACTGTCTGCAACTCCAGTTTCAGGGGATCCGACAGCCTCTTCTGTCCTCCACAGGCACTGCACGACATGGGTGCACTTACCTACATGCGGGCATAACACTCATACACATAAAATAAAAATAAGTAAAATTAGCCAGGTGTGGTGGCTCATGCCTTTAATCCCAGCACTTGGGAGGCTGATCTCTGAGTTCAAGGCCAGCCTGGTTTACAATAGTGAGTTCCGGGACAGCTGGGGTAACAGAGAGCCTCTGAAGGATAAATGGATTACAGATCATGGCATCCATGCAGTAGAGTATTAGTCACAAAAAGGAATGGAGCACTAATCCATGTTCCATGTGTGAACCTCAAGAGGAGCTACACAGAACAGACCACAACATATAATCTCACTGACAATGTCAGAACAGCCTAATTTATTATTTATATACGCATGTGTGTATGTATGGACTCGTGAATGCCACGCACACATTTGGAGGTATATAGCACTACCCTTTAACAGAACCACCTCCATCTTCTCAAGTTCAGCTGTGTCTGCTTGGGCTTGATGACTTCCCTTACAGGAGGGGCAAGAGGGTCATGGGACCCTCACCTGAGTATCCAGGATCCAGTCACTTGTCCCAACCCATTTTATGTAGTGCTGCCCTAATCACAAATGGCCTGGGGGCTAGAGTACATAGGCTGGGAAGACTAGGGGAAGGGGCTCCATCTGTACAGCTACGAGAAAGTCATTATCCATGTGGGGTGAAGACTTTCCAGTGGCTGCTTGGGGGCACTCATGCTCTCAGGCTTTATGGCAATGGCCTTTGCCCACTGAGCTATCTTGCCAGTCCATGAACAGGAAAACATGGCTAGAGAAGCATTTGGGAGTTGGAGAGATGGCTCAGTGGTTAAGAACACTGACTGTTCAGGGGCTGGAGAGACAGCTTAGGGGTTTAGAACACTGGTTTGTCTTGCAGAAGACTCAAGTTCGAATCCCAGCACCCACATGGCAGCTAACAACTGTCTGTAACTCCAGTTCTAGATCCAACAGCCTCTTTTGTTCTCCTCAGGCATTGCATGGCACAGGTGCACTTACCTACATGCTGGCAATACTTGTGCACACATAAAATGAAAATAATAAATAATTAAAAAAAAAGCCAGGTGTGGTGCTGCACCCCTTTAGTCCCAGCACTCAGGAGGCAGAGGCAGGCAGATCTCTGAGTTCACGGCCAGCCTGGTCTACATAGTGAGTTCAGGTCAGCTGGGACTACAGGGAGACTCTGTCTCAAAAAGACAAAAATAAAGAGAGAAAGCATTGAGTGGCTACCAGGGGCTCAAGAAAGGGGAGGGAGCAACTATGCAGGAGTGTACAGTTCAGGTGATGAAAATGTCCCCTTTTATCTGCAGAGATGTTTTAAGGTGTTCTGTGGATCCTAACCAGCCCTTCCATAGTCTGTGTTTTTCCTGTCATACATTCTACTGGGAAAATTCAATTTATAGGGCTAGCTAGAGTATGGCTCAGTCATACAGCACCTGGTGAGTACGCATAAGGCTCTGTGTTCTATCCCTAGCGGGGGGGGGGGGGCGGAGAAAAAAAGGAAAAAGATTATAAATTAGACAGAGTAGAGATTAGCATTAATAGCTAGCACTTGGGAGGCAGAGACAGGCAGATCTCTGTGAGGCCAGCCAGGTTAAAAAAAATTAGCAATAACTAGTAATGAGATCTGATATACTGTAATAAAAGTAACATGAAAACCTGGCATGGTGGTGCATGCCAGTGCTTCCAGGGACTCAGGAAGCTGAGGCAGGATGATATTTTGAGCACAGGAATGGAGACCAAGTCACAAAAACAGACAATCCAAAGCCAGGCTTGGTGATAGGACTCCATTCAGCCTTTCACTTGGGCTGAGGCAGGAGGAGGATCAGTTTCAAGTTCAAGGCCAACAGAGTGAAAGTTCTGGGCTACAGAGTGAAATTCTTTCTCAAAAAAAAGGAACGGGGGGGCGGAGAGATTGCTCAGTGGTTAAGGACACTGACTGTTCTTGCAGACCAGGGTTCGAATCCCAGCACCCACATGGCAGCTAACAACTGTCCGTAACACCAGTTCCAGGGGATCTGATAGCCTCTTCTGTCATCCGTGGGCATTGCATGGCATGGGTGCACTTACCTACATGCAGGCAACATATACATATACATAAATTAAAAATAATATTTTTTTTAAAAAAAAGAACCAAAGGAATGGGATCATGGTGGCCCTTGATCCCAGCACAGGGAGGCAGAGAGAGGTGGATCTCTGTGAATTCAAGGCCAGTCTGGTCTCTGGTCTACAGAGTTCCAGGCCAACTGGGGCTACAGGTAAACCTGTCTCAAAAACACCAATAGAAAAAAACAAAAAACCACAAAAACAAAATGGACCAATGGTAAACACAATCTAAAACACAACAACTAACAAAGTCTGGTTAATTTTACCAGGATTTCAATTCAACAGTAAAAAAACCAAGGAATGAAACCAACCAACCCCAGGGAAAAAACAAAAGCAAGCCCACTCCCCCCAGGATATATGTATGGGCTGGTCTACCCTTTCCCTTAAAATTTTGATTGAAACTGGGTTCCACTGTGTATCCCAGACTGGCCTAGAACTTGTAGCAATCCTCCTGCCTCAGCTCCTGAATGCTGGAATCACAGGCCCTGATATAGGCTTCCTAAGAACACAAAAACTAGGAAACCCAGGTGTCTGAACAAACCTATCCAAGATGCCTGTGTGCTAGTACCAGAAGGTGGAGCATCCGTCACAGAGGGTCCAGACCAGGATGTCAAGATGCCTGTGTGCTAGCACCAGAAGGTGGAGCATCCGTCACAGAGGGTCCAGACCAGGATGTCAAGATGCCTGTGTGCTAGCACCAGAAGGTGGAGCATCCGTCACAGAGGGTCCAGACCAGGCATGTCAAGATGCCTGTGTGCTAGCACCAGAAGGTGGAGCATCCGTCACAGAGGGTCCAGACCAGGCATGTCAAGGCAGGGCAGTGAGGGGAACTGTGCTCAGGTGGACTAATGCCTGCCTGGGTCCCATCCTTAGCAGCACATAAACCAGCATGGTGGGTGCACAAACCGTAATCCAAACACCTTGGGAGGTAGAGACAGGAGGATCATAAATTCAAGGTCAGCTTCAGCTACCACACGAAGTTCAAAGAAATTCTGTCTCAACCAAAAAGGCCCTAAGTTCCCCTCATATCGCCCCGTTATTGGGTTCCATGTAGCCATCACTAAATGGAGGGCCATCTCAAAACAAAAAAATAAGCAGAAAAATAGGGGTGGCTTCCTGTCTGGCTAGGTTCATCAGGAAGGGGCTATACCTTCTTCCCCTGGGCTGCAGTCCACAGTTAGGGGGACTGCTGGCATGACTGGAGAGTGTCACAATACTGTAAGGCAAGGGACAGAGAACCCTCAACCAAAGACAGAGGGGATGGTATGTGTGTGTGTTGACCCCTGCCAGTGATTTGACTCTGAATGTTCGGGAAAAGAAATCGCAAACACAGGCAACATTCCATAGTTCTCTTTTAAACAGTTTTCCACTTACAATTGTTTTTTAAAAAACTCGTGATTAAAAACACAGGCTGCTAAAACTGGGCAATGCCATGAACCCATTAAAAACATCCTGCAACATACTTACAACAAACCTTCATTCAACAGAATGTCACCTATGGAACAGTAGGGCGATAGGCATGTGTGGGGTCACACCCCAGGCCTGACTCCCGCCAGCCCCCCACCAGCCCCAACATCCCTCTGCTCCAGCTCTTCCCACAGGGTTTTCTCTAAATCCTTAACCATGTGACGACTGCCTTGGGGTTATGGAGGCTTGATGCACACAAGTGGGGAGCTCAACACTGATCATGGAGTCTCTGTTACAACCTCATCCTTAGTTTTTCCCACACGCCAAGCGTGGTCGGTTACTAAAAGCACTCTAACATCAGGGCAGATACCAAGTTGCAAGGGCCTTGTTTCAACTGCTCTATGTACAAAATGCCCTAGAAGCGGAAAAAAGCATAAATAAATAGGCAGGGTTGAGATGCCACAGGGTAGGTCCCGTGGAGAAGATGGGAGGGTTGGGAGCACCTGGCTGTGGGCAGTGGTTGCCACACAGCTCTGCACTGATGTTCATTCAGACCTTGGAGCCCTGCGCTGCTGGCATGAGCAGTTCCCGTGACTCCTCAGTCATGGATTCTGGTGCTCTGGTGCAGGAAGGGGTGAGGGCTATTGTCCCCCATCATGACTGTTCTATTACCCCTGGGGTGAACTCCTCAGTTATCCCAGAGGTACAGCTGAGCTGGGTTCACAACTGTCCTCCTGCCCCTGTAGGAAAGCCACACAGCTGCCAGGAAGGTAGCCCATCATTCAGGTCCCACAAGGCTTCTGCCTCATGCCCTGCCCTGGGCAAAAAGGCCATGTTGAATCGGGGCAAGGAGCTCCTTAGGGACATACAGGGAGGTGCAGGGTCTCAGCCCATTGGCTGTAATACACACACCAGGTTCCCAGTTCCTCCCCACCACTGGGATCAGCCTCTAGGCAGTCAAGTTTGGAGGCCCAGAATGCAGGCACTGTCACAGGGGTCACTGGAGAAGAAAGCGGGCTGGGGAAAGTACTGGACCTGGGCCTGTCCCAACTGTGGGCTATCATTCTTTCCTCCTTTTGCCATGGGCCCACTTTGTGTAGTCATGCTCCTGCAGCAGCCCCAAAGTTTAGCTGAGCAGTCAGTGGTAACACCCTAGGGTGACGATGACTCAGCACCACAGATTGGGAGGGGCAGAGGCCTGCACCCTGTTCCCCACAAATGAGACTGAGACACAGAGCAAGCCACAAGTGCCCTCCAACAGATGGCACTGGAATCCCGGTGCAGGCAGGACTGGCCATCACTCCCAGAGGCAGGCTGTGGCCCCAGGACTCCTAGGACTCAGAAGCTCTGGACAGTGGTGAGGGATCGGTAGACACCCTGGCAGATGTGCTCCCAGAGAGCTCCAGTGTTCGGTGGAAGTCGAGGACATGGGCCACAGGGGCCTCACAGGAGGCTGGCCAGGCTGGTGTTGGGTCCATTCTGGGCTTGGAACTGCACGGGGGGTGGGCCGTCCGTCCACTGCAGGGAGAAGGCACATGGATGATACTGGTGGCTCTTCCCATGAGATACCTGAAAAGCCTCCACCCTCCTGTGTCTGTGTCCCCACTGCAAGGCCCCTGGCTGAGGCAAGGCCTCACTGGAGGGAGTCAGCTGCCCATCCCCACGCCCCGGATCGCACCGTGATGAGGTTGTGCTCCGGGAGGCTGCAGGCCTCGATGTGGTCCTGCAGCAGCTGCTGCGAGAAGTTCTGGTGCATCTGGGCAGCTTCGTGGGCATCCATGGCATTTCCACATGCCTTGTTGAGGTCTGGGGGTAGAACAGGTGTCATTATCAAGCCCATGCAACCCAGGGGGGTTAAGTGGCTGCCCTCAGGGATCCACACCATCCCAAGGCCCAGTGGAGGGTCATCCATACAGCCTCCTGCAGGCAGGAGCACACATACTATGCATGGACCAAGTGTGCATACCCCTTAAAGTGGCCCGTGTGATGGCAGAGGCCCCACCAGGTAAGCCTGGCAGCCCTGCTTGCTCTCACCTCTCAGCAGGGCTGATGACCACAGTTGCACCGACATGTCTGGGATCTTGCTAGCCAACTGCATGGCAGGCACAACCATGTTGTTACTCTCCTGTTAATCAAAGGCCGAGAGTGAACAGGCAGCTATAGCAGGACAGCCTCAACTCTGCCTGCCCAGTCTGTTCTGTTGCTGTTGGGCAAACTCCTATTCCAACATCAGAGGCCACCTAAATGGCCCTCTGAAGTATTCCTGTCCACCTTAGGAAAAACAAACTGTCTTTATTAGTTTTACTCTGCTCTGTACACAACCTCACATAGGCAGAAGCAATTAGTGGATCATGGTGTGCCATTGGAGAAAAAGGCACTGAGGGCCATCTGCTCTGGACTTACAACAGGAACTGATTTTAGAAATGTATATTCATAGGCAGACGTGGTGGCGCACGCCTTTAGTCCTAGCACTCAGGAGGCAGAGGCAGGTGGATCACTGAGTTCAAGGCCAGCCTAGTCTACATAATGAGTTCCAGGCAAACTGGGGCTGCAGGGAGACAGACCCTGCCTCAAAAAGAGAGAGAAACATATATTCATGCAGATGCCCACAAGGGACAGCAGCCTGTGCTACGAGCTTGTTTTAGGAGGAAGAGGCTGATTGGGCTGAAGGTTTGTTCCTGTGAGGTGGCTTTTGCAGGCTACTGTAGATGTATGTGTGGGGCTGTAGGGTATCAGAGCCTGTGATCCCTCCAACCAAATTCTGTGTTCACACTGCCCACTTGGAGTCAGTGTCTTAAGAATGAGGCCGGAAGAATCTTGAGGAACATAGCTGCCTGTCTCTGACCCACACTGAGGCACAGGAGGCTTCCCTGAGAACTGCTCTGCTCTGACTTACCCAGTCTGCAGGCCTGAGTCTGGAACAAGACTGAAGACTCCCTCTTTGGTTCCAGCAGCAGCATACCAAAACTTCAAACCAGACTCCAGGCCCGAGGTGCAACTCAGTAGAAAAAACTAAGCTAAACTCAACTCAGCTGGGTGTAGTGGTGCATACCTGTAATCCCAGCACTCAGGAGTCTGAGGCCTGAAGATAAATACAAGCTTGAGACCAGCCTAGGTTACAAACAGTCAGACCCTCATCTCCAAAAACCAAAACCAAAAAGGTTCCCTTCAAAATTTAGAAAACAGGGGGCAGAAAAAGGTACTCCAGGCTTCTATGGTGAGGCAGGGGCCGTACTTGCATACTCTTGACATGTTGTCAGTGTTGGACAGGCCAGGGCAGGGTAGCCCAGACTCTTGGGCCTGACCCTCACCTGAGCCTGCCTTGCTAACCCTCTGCTGGTTACCCGACTGCTGTGATGCTTGTCTCACCCATGAGTGTCCAGGACAGCTGAACTCACCTTACTGATCTCACCCTCCCCTTGTAGCTCCACACCCAGGCTCACACTGACAGCCCTGATCTCAGCTGTCTCCTTGAGTCGCTGTAGGCAGGATCTGGCCAAGGGCTCTGGGGCTCTGTCACCCCACATAGGCCCAGAGGCACACATAATAGGGACACTTCTCAGCAAGCTGTGGGCTGGGAAACACAGCCAGACCTGTAGCTTTCTGCCCCCCACATCCTTGATCCAGGTGTTCTAACCTATGATGGAGTCTTGCCATCAGCAGATGCCCAGGTGGCTGCCCACTCAGCAGGCTGGTGCTGGGTTCTTTATGCATATCAAGGCCATTCTCTGCTTTCCACAGCCATACTGCTCTTCTCAATGCTCAGGGTCATAGGCTGTCCTCAAACTCACAGTGATCCTCCTGCCTCACTCCTGAGTGCTGGGAGTATAGGAGTACCCTTGGCTACTACACTGTATTTTACAACAAAGTTAAAAGCCTTGTGAGGTCACATGGACGACAGTCGGTGACTCAGACACAAGAGGCTCTGAGATTGTTGGTCCTACCTAAGGTCCCAGAACAGGGACAGCCCTGAGCGGCTGTATACCAGAGAGATGGTGTGTTGGGAAAAGCCCATACGAGCCTGGCAAGAGGCAGCGGTTTCTTGGGTCTGACACTCATGAATCTGACATACACCTCCTGAAAGGGACCTGCTATTGGGTCACCTGGCTTCTCTGCCTGACTGCATTTCTGCCCTGTTGACCCTGGTCCTGTGTGTTCGGCACCCTTGGCCCTAGCTGGGTCTCAGGGTGTAGTGGTGGGTTCCCCATGATATGCTCGCCTAGGGTTTCAGACAGGAAGCACTGTGCTTCACAGTGGTGTACCCAGGCTGCCATCCTGTACTTGAGGCCAGGCATACACTCACCCTATGGTTCCCTAGCACATAGAAGATATGGCCCAGCAGCACAAGGGAGCAGGCCGTGAGCCGGTTCAGATCTTCAGCATTTGACATCTTCAAAGTTTCTCGAAGAAATCGCCTGCACAAGGGGACACAATAGACGCTGACACACTGCTGGGATGTCGTTCAGAGAGGAAGAGAAGGCTTGGGGGAGGAGAGGCCACCCCACATGGTGCCCAGTCCCAAACTCACTTGGCTTCATTGTAACGGCCCTGAAAGAAGGAGAAGAGCCCCCGTACATAGAAGGCCGCTGCTCGCAGGCAGTGTGAGCTATGGGGGGAGAAGACCGTCACAGAGGAACAGGGAGAAAGGTTCTCAAAGGGACCCCAGTGGACTGTCTGAAGGATGGGGCGTAAGAGGTATGAGTGTATCTGGCAGTCTGGGGCCCACAGGAGCTCATGCCACCCAAGGACAGTGGGAATACGGGATATATGTCAGGCACAGGCAGCTCACCTGACTGGGAAGCTGTGGTCTGGGTTTATCCTCTCAAGCAAACTGTACAGCTGAGGGAGAGACATCAGTCAGGACCAGCCTGTGGCTCCAGGAGGCCAGGCCTTGAATGTGCTACAGGTGACAGAACTGCCTCAACTCTGTGAGAGGAGCCCCAGACCCTACAGCTTGCCCTCCCTGGAAAGCCCGGAGAGGGGATGTCCATCCCAGGGGATCAAATGGGAGACAGGGCAGAACAGCAAACATGTGAGCTTGGCCCCGTGACCTGAGAGCCCTGCTTTGGCTCCCCGACAGTGAGAACAGCCAGGGCTGGGCTCTCTGTTTTTCCTAGGCCAGAATCTGGGAGGTGGACCATGTTTTTTGTGAACAAGATATGGTGGCTTGGAATGAAGCCAATGTGAGGAGGGATACCAGGACTGGGTCCTCTCTACGGTACAGGGAGGAACTTAACTTTTGTGGATCTGGCTAGGAAACCCCTGTAAGGGAACCTGGCCTGTGAGGTTTGCCCACCAATCCATATAAGACCTTCTGGCCCTGGATTTGGGGTTGAGGCAAGATTCAGCAGCAAAACATTTGCTTGGGATACACAAGGTTCTGGGTATTGTACACCCCAGCACTTTTTATTTATTTATTTATTTATTTTTTGTCTTTTGGGTTGTGAGCCTGAGCTTTTAACAGCTGCACCAACTCTCCAGCCCCATAATTTTTAAAAAGATTTATTTATTGCCAAGCATGGTGGTGCACGCCTTTAATCCCAGCACTTGGGAGGCAGAGGCAGGCGGATCTTTGTGACTTCCAGGACAGCTGGGGCTACAGGGAGACCCTGTCTCAAAAAAGACAAAAAAAATAAAATAATTTATTATTTTTATTTTATGTGTACGCGTGTATTGCCCGCCTATAGGTCAGTGCACCCATGTTGTGCAATGCTTGCAGAGGTCAGAAGAAGCTGTTGGATCCCCTAGGACTGGAGTTACAGACAGTTGTTAGCTGCTATGTGGGTGCTGGGATTCGAACCTGGATCTTCTACAAGAACAACCAGTGTTCTTAACCGCTGAGCCATCTCTCCAGCCCAACAATAATTTTTTAAAGAAGGAAAATGTGGAGTTAATAAAAGTTTGGTTGGCTTAGGATGAGACAGGGGGCCACATGGCTGCAGAAGTACTGTCCCAGGCCTGATCCCTGGAGTCATGCCCTCACTGAAAGCTAAACACCTGGAGCTTACTGAGGTCAGCAGGTGCCCAGGAAACCCCTATCCCCCAAATGAGAGACTGAGAAAAGATACCAAACATGAAGCATGTCACCTACTACCTCTTGGTGTCTATTTCCTTCCCGTATATACACACTCGCAAGGTTGGTCACAATGAAGGCCCACAGCTCCTGGTGGTTGGTGAGCTGGAACAGGAGACTAGATGTTAGGGGGGTAGGTTGGGTATCGTTATCCCCTACCGCGGCCTGATTGGCCCTAGAGCCACTAAAGAGCTCCTTTAAGATACCCCACTGACCTCCAAACCCAAGGGTGATGTGGAAATTAGTTCTCTTATCACACCAGCTACATTAGGAGACATTTAGAAAATAAAGAGGAGTCAGCCACTCTGATCCTGCCAGTGACCAGTAGAGAAAGTCTCAACTTACAGCCCAGACTGGCCTAGAACCCTTCATCCTTCTACCTTAGCCTCCTGAGTGCTGGGATGACAGGCCCATAAAGCCATGGCTTGTGTTTCTCACAGTGCAGGGGCTGTACAGCCAGGCAAATAATGCCACTGAGTCATAGCTGATTGTTGGGAATAAGATGGTCAAGAGAAAGAACAAAGTGCCAGGTATACAGTACAGACCTGTCATCACTCATTTGGGAGGTTGAAGCAGTATGACCCTGAGTTTAAGGCCAGTCTGTACATCTTAGAGACACCTTTTCCATGGGCTGTGGCTGTAGTTCAGTTGTAGAGCACTTATTTGGTGTGTGTGAAATTCTGGGTTCAATCCCCAGTATGGGGTGGCAGAAGGAAGGAAGGCAGAATGTGAACAGCCTAGACCCACCGTAGATCCTGAAGTGGGCACAGCTAGTGTAACCACAGGGCCCATATGCAGGGCCAGCATACAGAGGCCCAGAGTGCCCTTCCCTGAACTGAGTAAGGCCTACCCAAGCAGCAGCAGCACTGGGTCTGCTCTGAACAACAGGAGGAGCAAGAGTTAGAGATGTCTTGGCTGCTTCCCTCCCATGTGTTCCCCAGTGGGAGAGCTCCCTGGGTTCATGGCTTCAGGACCTGTGCTACCAAAAACACATGCAGGAAGTGAGATTGGGGAAAAGGGGCAGCCTATGAGGAGGGCCCTGCACTGCAGCTGGAGGAACTGGGCCCAGGGAGTCAGAGGAGTAGGCACCTAGTTGGTCCTTCATACCAGCTATGTCTGCCTGTCACAGTTCCTATGTTTCCATATAGCACCCACAGGCTTGGAGACCACCAGAGTGAAGTCTCCATCTCACAGTAAGAGGGACACTCCAGCCACCTTGCTGGAGTCATCCATAGAATAGCCCTTGTTCCCTAACATCTCTACATAAAGCTCCCTCGAGGAATGGGTCAGTTGCCTCCCTTTCCTGCAAGAACACCAAGGTGGAGGTGGGGACACTCTTGTCTGATCCTGGGGCCAGGTGGGCAGAGCTGGAGGTGAGCTTTGGGAGATATGGACCGCTTCCTCTCAGGGACCAATAAGAGCCAGCACCAAGCCAGGAGCCTAGAGTGTCAATGCCCCATGGGGAGCTTCCTCCCTGGTACAGTGTAACCTGTCCTCTGTTGATGAGTACCCATGGTGGGGTTTGGGTAGGGTCAGGGCAAATCTTGTCTCATATCCTAGCCACTTAGCTATCCATACAAGGTGGCTCTACAGAACCCCAGAAATGAATGTGACATCCTATGTGATACAGTCAACCCAGCCTGGGAATGTCCTAGCACTTACCAGGTGTCAAAGTGGCTAAAGAGGCCACAGTGCCCACACAGCATCCTTGTGACCTCAACACATGTGCTCTTCCTACATATCTACCCTCAGAGCTGTTCAAGGTGGCCAAGAACCCCTCACCCTAGCCACCCCCATCTCAACATGAAGGATGTGCACTTGCAGCCACAGTTCCAAAAGGGGGACCTAACTTGGTCTCCATCCTCACTGTGGGGCACTACCCTGACTTAGTGCTGCTACCAGAGGAGTCCCTTACCCGTAGGGCTGTGGTGAACTGGGCTTCAGCGTTGTCCATGCAGTTCACAGAGACGCAGTACAGACCCTGCAGAGACAGGGTACAGCTGTGGAATGGTTCTGAGGGTGGCTGTGGCTCAAGTCAGAGCCACTGGGGCTGACACAGTGGCCCCCAGATAAGCACAGTGTGACTGGGCCATTAAGATGAGATTCAAATTAAGGAAGAGGAGCCCTACTTCCCCAGATAGATCAAAGTTCACTTGGAATATTCTGGACACTGGCTAAGCTAGTGTCTGGGATGGTTTACTGAGATATTCAGATCCTTTTAGGATAAATTACCTTTTTTGTTGGAAATGTTTTGGATGCTGGTGAAGGTGGGGCTCAGCCCCCAGGGCACACTCACCAGCAGCGTGTGCAATTGGGCAGCGTGGTTGGAGAAGAGCCGGGGAGACTGCTGGCACAGCTGGCAGACTTGGGAAATCTGAAAGAGAGTGCCAAGGTCACCATCTGCTCTGCACTGGAGCGCAGCCCCAAGGTGGGCAGACATGCTTGTCTCTGCCTGCCCAAACTGGGGTCAAAGTGTCATTAGTGGAGCTACCATGAGGAAGCTGGCCCTCACCACAGTTTGGCTTAAGGGTATGAAGTGTCTCCCAGATGCTGAGGAAGGTGGCATTTCAGTGACATGGATCCCACTCATGTCCCAATGTCTCCCAGGTGTGCAAGTTTTAGGGAAAGTGACCACTGGCTTTAGATTCTCCAGTTTGCCATGCCAAAGCAGTGACATGAAGGTCATTGCACTCACCCCTCTGACACCTGTGCCCCTGCCCAGCTTTGCTCCCACCTCCCTGCCCCCCACAACATCTTGCTACCTCCTGTAGTGCAGTGGCTTTGTGGCCTGTGACGAGCCGGCACATGATGATGTGCTCCAGCAGGATGACTTGGAAGGACGAGAGGATGGGACTGCAGTCAAGCACTGGGGATGGGAGGAGGAAGGGGTGAGCATGCTGAATGGTCCCACAGGACCAGGCCAGTGCCATCCCTCTCCCCTTCTAGATAAGCAGATGAGCTGAAACAGAGGCCCATGGTGATAGTCTTGAGGATGAAAAATCCTGGCTTGGCAGTGCTCAGTTACATGGCTCAGCAAGCATGAACATGACTGGGATCACTAGCATGAAACCAACAGAGGCAACTCTGGGCTGAGCATGGCGCTGCACAGACCAGTTCCAGGGAGGCTGGCACAGCAGTCTGCCATCTCTGCTACATGCTTAAGAACCTGCTCAGCGGGTTCTCCAAGTTGCCAAGGCTATGCTTGTGTGGGACAGAACCCTGGGCTATTGGGAGACCCTGGGTAGCTCCTGGTAGCCCTGCACAGCTTCTCCTTGTGGGAAACAAAGGCTCAGTTCTTGCCTAGCTCAGCCAGAGGAAAAGAGAAGGGCAGTCCCATAGGCTCTGGTGTCTCCAGGTCTCACTTCCCCTCAACTGTGGCTGAGGAGGGCACAGGCCAAAGAACAGATTCAGAACGATGCTGAGTCACAGACTGTGGGTTCTGGGATCCTGTTAGACACAAGTTCCTGATCTAGGATGCATTAAACCGTCAAGGGTGTGTAAAGAACCCATGTTCTCCAAAGGGCCTACCACAGGTAGGCGAGGGCTGGGTTCTCACCCTGGCCTCCCCAGGGTAGCCATGCCATAATGCCACGGACAACTGCCTCAGCTGAGCACCAAGATCCTTAAAGTTACTGATAGGGGCATAAATGGGACACAAGCCTGGGTGAGACCCTAGGACATTGCCCTAGTGGGTGACTGGTCACCCCAGGGCCTAACCTGACTCAGGCAGCCCTTACTCTTTAGCTTCTCCAGCTGCATGAGTGCCTTGTCCGTGTACTTCTGTGCTTTCTCCAAGTAGCCGGCCTGCATGGAGTGCATCACTGTGACCTGCAAGGAGAGTGGGAGGGCGGTCACAGGGCTCTCTCCCTGCCCGGGCCCTGGGTAGCAGAACTCACCAGGTAGACAAGCACACACATGTGCTCCTTGGGCAGCCAGTGGAAGAGGTCAGCGGGGTTGCTGGGCAGGATCTCATCATCATGAAGTGTAGAGATGGTCTGGATACATTGCTGCAATTGCTTCAGGCATGGCTTCACACTCTTCACCTACAACATACATGCTTCAGCACATGTTGCCCCATCCCACACCTCTCCATACCTGTTCCTGCACAGGGACATACTGCCCTCCCCCAGGTGCCCACCTCCCCAGGCTGGGGCAGGTCTCTGGCCAGGAGGCTCATGTAAACGACTGACCAAGGCTGTCACTGACTCTAGTTGCACTGCACTTGACAGGCTTAGAGGAGGTAAAAGCCAGGCAGGTGAGGGTGACCCTCTGCAGTGGGCAACAGTTGCCTCTGCATAGAAACCCTGATGGCACTGTGGCTTCTGCCAACTCTCCTGTCTGCACCAGGAACCCCATTCTGAGCCCCTCAGGACATCTGTGGCCTTCAACAGCCCAGAACTACTGGCAGCTGTGGCTTTCTTACATGTTGAGTGAGGAGCTGTGCCCAGTGGTGGCACAAGGAAGGGCCACATCTACTAAGATGCCCACTGGGTACTTCCTAGGCTCCCACTATAGCCAGGCCCCACAACACTGGCCCAGCACCTGGCAGGGGCCCTGCCTGCATAGGAACAGGCGAGGGCTGAAGTGGACAGGGCAGCCACCATCATAGGGCCAAGTGGTTACACAAACACAGTTGTCAAGTGCTTAACACAGCTGTGCCCAAGTCATACCAGGGTGGGTACTGATCCTTACAAAGCTGCTGTGAGCCAGGGTAGGGGAGGATGCTGTGTGCTAGCCACCCACACAGGACCCTCCTTGATTTGTTCTCATGGCTTCCTCAAGCCACCCTCAGAGACCTCCATCCATGTGTGCCTTCACAGATGTGAAGCCACATGTCCTCACTTGAGTCTGCCATGTGTGTTTGTGTATTCATGAACATGATCAAATGATTCTGTGACATGTGACATCCCAGTCCAAGGCCCCCTGACTTCCTCATCCCTTCCCTCTGGGAGAGGCGACACACCTGCCCAGCATCCAGGTAGTGGGTCACCTGCAGCACCAGGAAGAAGACACGTAATGACTCCTTCTGGATGGGGTTGCCCTGCCAGTTTTCCACGATCTGTCCGCACAGAGTGAGCAATGGATGCACCTCCTGCAGCTTGCGCTCCATCAGCAGCAGCTGGGGAGGGACAATGAACGGGTATCACTGCTATCCACATGGAGGCTAAAGACTGCAGACACCCAACCCCTGGGGGGCAAGAACAGGTGCAATGAAGAAACTGGGGTGCGGACAGCTCCATGGCAGGCTTTCTTGATAGCACACCCAACACCCGAGGGTCCCACATGAAGTCTGCCAGGGCAGAACCCTTGCCTGTGAGGACACTGTGTGAAGAGGTAGGATCTGGGTAGAAGCCCTGCAGGCTGGCCTCACACCTGCAAACCAGCTGCACCTGCTGCTGGCCCAGACTCAACTTACCATCCCTTTGCTGAGCAGGAATAGTGCCCTGGAAAAAAGAAAAAGAGAAGGGACATCAGGTAAGGATCCAGGAGCCCTAGTGTTCGGAGAACTTGGTGTATGGATACCAGGACTGCTCTATTTACAGGACTGCTGAATTTTGTCTTTGCTCTATATTTACTTTGGGTGGGGGCAGTAGAACTAGAACTTGAATCTCAAGTAACTCAGGCTAGCCTCAAACTTGCTATGGAGTTGAGGATGACCATGAACTTTATACCTAGCTACCTTTTGTTTCACAATGTAGACAGGCTGGCTTGGAATTGCAATCCTCCTGCCTCTGCCTCCGGAGTGCTAGGATCACAGGAATGCTCAGCACATTCACACACAGACACATTTGTGAGTTCCAAAGTGCAGAGGGCCATGTTCTAGGCAGAGAAGAGGGTGGCACCCTTACTGTGACCTTAATGCTCCGACACAGCAGATATGGACTTGGCACAAAGAATCCCTTGGGCAGGGGGCAGGGATTGGCTTGAGTTCCCAATACCTTACTACCTCATCTGTAAGCCAGGCCATGACCCTTCAGGCTCCTCTCCGGATCAAGGAGGGAATGAACTCAGAAGGCCTGGGCATTCACTAGTAGCCTCCTCCTGCCTCCCTCGCCCGGGTTTCTATTTATCCTCTCTACCTTACACATTCCCAAAGAGCACCCACAGCTGTCTCCAGCAATGAAACTGCAAGACAGGGAAATGCAGTAGACAGCAAGAGTTCTGCAGGGAGAGCCAGGGTGGCCCTGAACCCTTAGCCCCAAATTTACCCCAGGGCACTGGCCCTGCAGGGATCCTGAATTGTCTGACTGTTGAAACCTACACACAAGACTTCATGTCAAGGCCACCACACTATAACCCAGGAGGCCCCCTGATGCTGGTCTGGCCAAGGAACTGACCTGCAGCTGGCCTATGGTAGAGCTATCACTCTTTTACTTATAGGCAGTTTAGTACAGAAAACACAGAATGCACCCACAGGAGTCTGTATGGGGGACATTTACAATAGGACCAGCACAGTGGGTGGTGGCTGCTCCTACAAGGGCAGCCTCAAGGCTCCCAAAGAAGTCCTGGGGCACTCCGGGGTGTTGCGGGCACAGAATCAGCTGCATCAACCAGGAGGTGGAGGTGGGGGTGGTGTGTGTGCGTGTGTGTGTATCTGTGTCTGTATCTGTGCCTGTCTCTCCCCAGAATGTGGAGCGTTGGCCTTATAGCATGCTGGCCAGAGCACAGTGGTTGAACAGCTGCTCAGCACTCTGGGGTGTTAAGTCCAGCTCCAGGAAGGCCCTTGTATGGGAACTTTCCAAAACTCCCACCTGCAAACAGAGCAAGTGCACCACTGCCTGGTACTGCAGAAGGGCCATGGAGAATCCATGTGGGGAGAAGCAGGGGACAGGAGTCCCCACAAACATCAGGCAGGGCAGTTCTTTTACATCAATGTGAGCCTACTCTGCCTTGTTGCTTATCAAGTTTAGCACCTGAGTTGCTAAGACACTGAGACCACCCTCAGTCAGACCCATGCTGCTGGGGAAATATCTGTGTGTGATGGAAGTTGTGGCTGGGCAAATTCTACCAGCACTTTCTATTTCAAGAGATTTGGAAGCAGGGTATGGTAGTGCAAACCTGTCATCTCAGAACTCATGGGGCTGAGGCAAGTGTGGGCTATATAATGAGACCCTGTCTCATAAGCAACAAGGAGACCAGCACCTTGGGAGGCAGAGGCAGGCAGATCTCTGGTGAGATAGAGGCCAGGCTGGTCTACATCCCAGCTGGGGATAGAGGAAGACCCTATCTCTAAAAAGTAAAACAAAAGGCCGGGCGTGGTGGTATACACCTTTAATCCCAGCGGAGCTCTGTGAGTTCAAGGCCAGCCTGGTTTACATAGTGAGTTCCAGGACAGCGGGGGTTACAGGGAGACCCTGTCTCAAAAAGACCAAAAAAAAAAAAAGTAAAACAAAAGGCCGGGCGTGGTGGTATACCCTTTAATCCCAGCGGAGCTCTGTGAGTTCAAGGCCAGCCTGGTTTACATAGTGAGTTCCAGGACAGCGGGGGTTACAGGGAGACCCTGTCTCAAAAAGACCAAAAAAAAAAAAAAGTAAAACAAAACAAAACTAACAAAGAAAAAACCCCAATCAACAACAAAACAAACTCCATCATTAAAGAGAGAGACCTGGAAACATGCCTGTACCAGCTCTGGAGACACACTGCTACTCTGCCTTCCTATCTGTTTACATCACTGGGCTTGACCCCATATATGTCACTAAACCAGGCCACTTTCACACTAAGCTGCCATGTTTGGGGTCAGGATGTCAGGCGGAAGAAAGGGAAGGAATGGAGGGCAGTACCTACCGTGTGTACTCGGATCCCACCACACGGGCATACTCGGCCCCCACGCCCAGGAGGTCGCAGGCTGATACCAAATCCTTCTCCAGGGTGTGCAGTTGCTGAAAAGGAGAGCAATGACCTTGGCTTCCTGATGTCTGTCCTCAGAACTGGCCTCACTGCAGCTGAGCCTTCCACTCCTCAGCACAATCATGACAGTACTGATTCTGAGCTCAGCCAGCCCATCAATGCCAACTGCTCTGGGTACAAAGCTGCCTATGCCCCTGTACAATGTCATTTCAGCTTACTGGTATGCACAACCAATAGTCTGGGGCAGATGCCTTGGGTACCAGGTGGGTGACTAGGAAGGATTCCTTCAGGAGCAGGGGCCTAAGGGTACTTTAAATCCCGAAGTCTGGACAGCAGAGAGACCCATGCCTGGCTGGTCCCTGAAGGGACACCTTTAGGGTCTTCCTGTAGTCAGTTCTTCTGCACAGAGTACCACAAGCTCTGTGAACTGGGCAGGTTACATGGTGCCTGGCCGGCTTCCTCAGCTCCCTGCTTAGTACACAGGGGATGCAAGCAGAGCAGGCAGTGTGAGCATGAGAGCACTGGGGCCTATGGGGTAGGGCCTTGGAAGCCAGATTCCATGGCTATTTGGGTAATGCAGCTATATCCAGGGGAGGGGAAGACATAACAGATCAAATCAAGAACAGGTAACATTGGTCAAAGAGAGGGTACCTGGGCACCCCTGTGCGAGAGAGGTACAGGCAAGGGATAGGAAAGAAGTGTCTGACACAGCAGAACTACCCTTGTCCCTTTAAGGCAGCCAGGCAGTCAGAGGACAGCCTGTGCAACTGGGACTCAGGTGAATGGCCAGGGTCTCACCCTATACTCACAGCAAGCTGGAAGAGTAGGCGGCAGTGCCAGTATGGTGTCTGCTGTGAGATCTGGATGGCTTTCCTCAGCAGTGGCTTTGCTGCATCCACAGAGTTCTAAAAGGGAACAGTTTCAAGTCCAAGGAGGAAGACAAGCCAGCAATCAGGCTGGAAACCTAACACAGCAGCTGTTGGGCCAGAAGGCTAAGCCTGTTCCTGTTCACTAAAGTTTTTTTTCTTTCTTCCTTTTTTTTTTTGGTCTTTTTGAGGCAGGGTCTCCCTATAGACCCAGCTGGCCTGGAACTCACCATGTAGACCAGGCTAGCCTTGAACTCACAGAGATCTATCTGCCTGCCTCTGCCTCCTGAGTGTTGAGATTAAAGACGTGCGCCACCTGCCTGGCCTGTCTTCCTGTCTTCCTTCCTTCCTTCCTTCCTTCCTTCCTTCCTTCCCTTTCCTCTCCTCCCCTCCTCTTTAGTAGCCAATTTTTTTTTTAGATTCTTTTTAAAAAAATATTTACTATTTTTATTTTATGTGTGTGAATGTATTGCCTGTATGTACGCTGTGTACCTGTCTTGTGCAATGCCTGCAGAGGTCAGAAGAGGGCATCAGATTTCCCTGGAACTAGAGCAGACAGTTGTTAGCCACCATATGGGTGCTGGGAATTGAACCTGGGTCCTTTGCAAGAGCAATCAATGCTCTTAACCACTGAATCATCTCTCCAGCCCATTGAGTAGCCGATTTATTGAGTGAGGGAAGATACTAACATTGCACTTGCTGGTTGGGAAGATTTCATACAGTTTATAAAATAGCTTCTTGCTGGGAATGATGGCTCCTATCTGTCACAGGAGGGCTGTGTGTGAGTTTAAGGGCAGCCTGAGCCACATAGTAAATTTCAGACCAGCCTAAGCTACAGGGTGGGACGGCCTCAAAAAAATTCTTTTTCTAAATTTAGAATATAAAATACAGTGGCTTCTCATTCAGCCAGGTATGACAGCACACACCTGTGATCTCAGCACCAAGCAAGGTGAGGCAGGAGGACTGTGAACTTGAAGCCAGTCCAGGAACATGTCAAGTTCCAGGCCAGACAGGATATGCAGAGAGCCCATCTCAACCAACCACCCAAGACAGTGAACCAGAAAGATTGCATACAACTACTCGTTCAACTCAAATGAAAGTTGCTTTGGAAAAAATAACTATGTAGTCACTAAGCATGTGGAACATGGCACATGCCTTTAATCCCAACACATGGGTGGCAGAGGCAGGTAGATCTCTGTGTTCTAGGCCAGCCTGGTCTACATAGCAGTTTTATGTCAGTCAGGGCTATATAGTTATGAGACCCCATCTCAAAATAAATAAATAAAAGGGAGGAAGGAAAGGTAGCAGTTCGGTGCTATCTCAGGGCCTTGGGCACCATCCGCAGCACAATTAAAAAGAGAACAAAGGAATTTACACTCTAAAGTGGCACAATGGTACCATACTATTTTTATTATAGCAGGTAGCTTAACCACCCAGGCTGATGACGTCCAGGGGAGAAGGACCAGGTGGAACTCAGTGGCAGTGTTCACCCAGTGTGTGTGAGGCCCTGGCGGCTCTTTGCACAAGCTACACCACTTCACAGAAGGGCCCTGAGTGCCTGATGGTTCTGGTGTCTGCAGTGGCCATGGAGTCAGTCCCCAGGGTCTCTAAGGGCTGGATGTAGCATGAGTACTACCCAGCTCTGACCCCCAATCTTTGCTGGGACCAGGCAAAAGGGAGAGACTGCTTTCGGACCCTGCAGCACTCACTCACCTCTTGACAGTACAGCTCAGACAACAAGCTTGCTGCCTCAAATTTAACATCTTCAAACTGTGGAATCTGGTGAAGTCCGGTTAAGGAAGTAGACTGCAAAGGGCCATGGCTCCAGGTTCCCACATAGCAGAGTGTGCCTGAGAGTGTTCACCATCATCAGAAATTCTGAGTGTGTTGCAGGCTGAGCAGAGGCTGTAGAGAAACCTGCTACCCAGGGAGAGGCAGCTGGCCTCCAGAGCAGCAGGGTACGGGATGCTAGGAGGGGGATCCCAGTTCCTAACACAGGCTTTTCATTCAAACAACATTCCTTCAAGGGCACCCTACAAGGGTTGGGTACATGGCTTAGTGTAGAGCACTTGTCCAGTATGCCCCGGGCCTTGGGTTCCATCCCCAGCATAGGGAGGAAAAGAACAAAGGAACAGGACACAAAAGGATACTTGCTGTGATATCAACCACTGAAAGAAAAAGAAAAAGGATAAATTAATTTTGAGGCAAATGCTTGATGCCTAGTTAAGTGTCTCACACTGGGACTGACACAGCTTGCCCATCACCCAGGGCAGCCAGGTCATAAGGGCACGGGAAGGTGGCCTACTTGCTATTCCTGTAATATAGCTGCGGTAATGGAAGTTGCAGGGACTTGGTAGGTACCTGGCTAAGAGGGGACATCTCTTTAGATCATAGAAGGGGTTGGTGCTTGGAGTCACACCCCTTCCCACCCACTGTAGGGAGGGAGCCCCAGGGTGATCTGGGCCCATGGAGGCCTGGCACACTCTGCACTGCAGCAGAGCCCACAGTCTGGCCCAGAGCAGGACATTAAGTAAAACTCTGCCTGAGGAGTCAGTCACACCTGAGGATGAGTGTTGTGTGGTACAAATCCCTCCTAAGAAGTAGCATGTCAAAGAGCCTTGGAGGTGGGCAGCCAGCCTTGCAAGCAGAGTACCAGGGTAGACAGCTGTTAGAAGGCCTTGAGGACACATACCGAGACATTTAAGAGGCCCCATTCCAAACAAAAAGTGGGTAGGGTGTGATGGTACAGTCTATAGTCCCAGCACTGGGAAAGAAGAGGCAGGATGACTAGGAGTTTAAGGCTCATCTTCAGCTACACTGCCAGTATGAAGTCAGCTTGGGCTACATAAGAGCCTCTCTCAAAAAAGGAGATTCAGAGGGTCAGCTCTGTCTCAGAGACCACTGTTCCCTAAGTGACATATTCCAACAGGCTCTTGGCTGGTGCATCATATTGTACAGTCTTTTGAACTCCTCAGGGACCTAAGTACATGCCTGACATTGACCTGCCAACCATGGATCCCACAAACAGTTACAGAGCAACTGACATTTGAGAGGAGCCCTAGTGGATACTGAGAAACAAATCAACCTTTATCCACTTGTGTGTGTCGGGGTGGGGTGGAGGGGCACATAGGATGGGAGACATGTGGTACTAGAAGGGCAAGAGTGGAAAGTAAAGGAAGGGTCCTGCGAAACAGGGGAGCAGAAGTTGTTCCATGCACAGAATTGTGAGAAAAGTACCAGGGTCCAGGGAGCTGGGCTGCAAGGCTGATGGCTCACAGCACCACTCACGTGGCAGTGGTGGCTGAAGGTCTAGCCCTGTCTGTGGAACCCAGACCACTTTTAAAAAAAACATTTATAGGCTGGGCATTGTGGCACGCCTTTAGTCCCAGCACTTGGGAGGCAGAGGCAGGGGTGGATCTCTGTGAGTTCATGGCCAGCCTCGTCTATATAGTGAGACCAGGTCAGCTGGGGCTACAAGACCCTGTCTCTAAAAGACCAAAGGAGGGGAGAAAAAAAAAAAAACAAAAAAACCCCCCATGTATGTATGTATGTATGTATGTATGTATGTGTGTGTGTTTAGGTATGTATGCACACACAAGCATACCAGTGTACATGTGTGGAAGTCAGAGGAAAACTTGCAGGAGTTGGTTTTTTCCTTTTACCATGTGGATCCCAGAGATGAACTCTGATCATGTTTGGCAGAGAGTACATTTACCTGCTAGGCCACCTTACTGGCCCCAGACCAAGTGTGGTGGTACATGTATGTCATCCCAGCACTTTGGAGGTAGAGACAGAAGATCAGGAATTCAACCTCAGTTTCACAGTGAAATTCTGTCTCAAAACCAAAAAAGGCTGAGGATGTGGCTCAATTATAAGAATACCTGCCTATTATCCCAACACTTAGGATTGGCAGTTTTAGATCATCCTCAGCTACATGGAGGCCACTCTGGGATATACAAGACCCTGTCTCAAAAAACTATAAACAGCAGGTTGTCTTGGATGGGGACAAAGAAATAGAAAGAAGAGAGGAGAAGATGAGGGAGACCAGGAGCACTTAGGTTGCCTCTGGGACCAGAAAGATGAGGAAAAGCGGGAGCTGGTGAGGCAAGTGGCTAGAAAAACATAGGTGGGTCAGGAGGGGGCTCGGTGGGACAGTGAGAAGGCAGGCAGAGCAGCCCAGGCCCAGAAACAGACTGAGTTTCTTTAAAGCAGTTGGCACCTAAGGGATGGAGTCACAGCCACCTGCCCAGGGTATGTGGGGGATTTTGGGGTGCACTGCTCCATTTCTACCATGCCTGGGCTGTCTCCTAAGAGAAAGGACTCCTCATCCCTTGCCCTCTGGGGCTCCCCTGTAGTTACCATCTATTTAGTGACATCTTTTCTTTGTGAGCAAAAGGCATCTGCTGATGAGTGGCTGTCTGCTCCCATGCCCTCTTCCCTGGTCTGCCACTGTCCTCCCTAGACCACCATCGTCTTCTCTGTACCTTCCTCCACCACCCTCTCTCTGTGTTCATTCACCTACAGGCACTGCTTAATGACAGGGACATAGAAATATCAAGGTGGACTTATACAAACTAGGAAGGCCACATTACTAGGTGACATAACCTTACAGGACCACCATCATACATGCAGTTTGCTATTGACCAAAATATCTTCATGCAACCTCTGACTGCACACACAAATGGAGGACATTCAGTCAAGGCCACATTCCCAGAGTCTGCCCCAGGCCAACACTCCACAGGTACTTGGGAAACATCTGTCATGTGAGGAACAGCTGCATCCCTTCAGATAAACAACAATTTATGTACACACCTAGGAGGGACTGACCACAGACCCTGGCTCTGCCCTTCCCGCGTAGTCCTTTATCCTAAAGGCCTCGACAGCCCATCTGCAGGCAACACTGCAGCAGCAGTTTTTTTTCCTCCTTGAGGCTAGGTCTTTCTATGTTGTTCAGACCGGCCTTGAACTCATGATCTTCTTGCCTGCCTTCACCTCTCAAGTGTCAGCATGACAGGCACCACCATGCCTGGTTTATGTAGCACTGGGGCTAGAACTCAGAGCTTCAAGCATGCCAGAAAAGCACCCTACCAACTGAGCTACAACCCCCATCTCATCTTTAAACATTTCTTGGGACAGGGTCTCATGCAGCCCAGGCTGACCTCAAACTCATTATGTGGGCCAAGGATGACCTTAAGGTCTTAATCCTCCTGCTTCAGCCTTCCAAGTGCTGGGATAACAGGACTGTGACACTATGCCCAGCTAAACTTCAATGCCAGGAGCATGAGGAGGGTTTGAGGGGGGTGGGATTCAAGCAGCTATGATCACTACTATCCTGACTACAGCAATGGCATCATGAGCATATATGTATGAGAGTCAAAAAATTTTAAATGCACTATCAATGGGCCATCTTCATATTATGACAGTTACATCTCAATAAATCTATTTCAATTTTTTTTGCTGGTATAGCAAGATGGCTCAGTGGGTAAAGAAAGGCACTTGCTGCCAAGTCTGATGACCAGAGTTTGATCACCAGAACTGACTCCTGCAAGTTGTCCTCTGACTTCCACACATATGCCATGACATATGTGCCCCTCCCCAGTACAAAGAAAAAACTTCACTGGGCTTGAGATGTAGCTCAATTTGTAGGATGCTTGCCTAGGACAGTTCTAGAGTCCACCCTTAACATTCAAAAACCCAGTGCACAGGCCTGTAATCCTAGCACTCAGGAGGTAGAGGCAGAAAGATCAGACATTCAAGGTCTTCCTCAGCTACATAGTTTGAAGCCAGCCTGAGATAAAGCCAAATAAACAAAAGTAGGAAGGAGGCAATATATCCTAATAGGTAGGATACTTGACCCAATGTTACTTTGCAACATTCAGGAATAGTTATGTCTCCTTCCTCATGATTGGAAAGCAGCCAAAATAAGAGCCCCCTTGGTATCAGGAGGCCCACAGAGTGCAGGGAGAGTGCAGGACAGGCATGTCAGCTCTCTTCAGAAGCCCCTGGGGTTGCTCTGAGTTTGATGGGAAGTTGGGGTCCAAGGCAAAAGGACTAAGGTCTGTATACCTTCAATGCCTGGAGTCTCCATCAGGCAGAGAGAACATTTCAAGGGTTTCCTCCCTTGTTATATTTCCTTTCTTCTTCTTCTTTTAAAATCTTTTTGAGACAGGGTCTCCGTGTAGCCCCAGTAGGTCTGGAACTATGGAGACCAGGCTGGCCTTGGACTCACAGAGATTTGCCTGCCTCTGCCTCCAAAGTGCTGGGATTAAAGGCGTACACCAACATGCCCAGCTTATATTTTGCTATTTTTAAAAAAACATGTATTCTTTTATCCAATCTGACAGTCTTTACTGTGTGTGTGGTGTGTAGGACATGTATATGTGCACATATTCCTGCCCATGAAAGTGGAAGCTAGAGGAGGATATCAGGTGTCCTGCTCTATCACTCTCTCCGTTATTCCCTTGAGACAGGGTCTCTCACTGAACCCAGAGGTAGGCTAGCAATCAGCAAGTCGCAGCCATTCTCCTGTCTCTGTGTCCCTGACCCACAGCACCAAGTTACCATGCCCGATTTTTCCCATGATAGCTGGGATCTGCACTCAGGTCCTCATTTTTAAATAGCAAAAGCTTTTACCCAGAGTCATCTGCCCAGCTCCATAGTTTTGTTTCTGTTTTTTGAGACAAGGCCAGGTTGGCCTTGAACTAACAGCAATCTTTGTGGCTCAGCCTACTGAGTGCAGGGATTACAGGCTGAGCTACCACACTCAGCTTTCAAGACTTCCTAGAACAAAGTAACTGGATAAACAAAATAGGGCTGCAAAGACGGCTCAGCAGTTAAGAACACTGGCTGTTATTGCAGAGGAAGGGGTTCAGTTCCCAGCACCCACATGGCAGCTAACAGCTGTCCCTAACTCTAGTCCCAGGGGATCCAATGCCCCCTATTGTCCTCCTTGGGCTTTGCATGACACAGGTGCACTTACACACATGTAGGCAATATACTCATAAACACACAAAAAATAAATCTAAAAAAAAAACCATACAAACACACACAAACAACACAACACAACAAACCCTCCAAAACAAAGACAAAGCTGGGCACGGTGGCATACGCCTTTAGTCCCAGCACTTGGGAGGCAGAGGCAGACGGATCTCTGTGAGTTCAAGGCCAG